GGGTGTACAATACACTACATACACGTTCAGACTTGTATTTCAATTAAGTTTCATTTTTATTTGTGTTAAAGTTGAATAGTTGTGCCAGAGAGATAGTATAGGGATTGATTAAAGCATACGCTTTGCCTACTACTGACCATGATTGAGTTCCCAGCACCACAGGGAGCAGAGCCAGGAGTAGGCCCTGGCTCTAGGTATACTCCAAAACCAGAATTGAATAGTCACATTTTCTACATCTCAAATTGGTCAGAAATGTTGATAATTTTATATGTTTAAATAGAATAGGTAAATAGTAATACAATTGTACTACCAGATGATTTGGGGAAGGGCCACACTTGGGCAGTGCTTAGGGCTGACTCCTGGCTCTGCGCTCGGGAATCTCTCCTGGTGCTGGGGAAACTACATAGGTTGTCAGGGATTGAACCCGGGTCTGCTGCAATCAAGGCAAGCACTTAACCCACTAACTGTATCTCTCACTACTAACCAGATCATTTTTAGATATATTAAGTTCATATAAAACTGGAAAATGTTAATCACTAACATCTAAAGATTCCATAGAATTCTAGAAGAAAAATCATTTGTAAAATTACAAAGACGTTAAACGCCACCAAAAAAGACAAGCAAATGGTCAATTTCATTTACAATAAATTTCAAGTAAGGCATGCAAAGGCATTTGCTCAGCCCCATTGAGCATTTTTGAGTCCTAAAAATGTGCTAGATGTAAAATACCAATTTGTACTGTGTTTTATTCCTAGTCTTCTCTTAAAACCTAAGAAGGTATAATTAGTAGGAGTATATCAATATTATTTCTTGATCATTTCCTTAATATAGTTCTTCATAGCTTTTAAAGTGTAATCTTCATTATGCCCATCCTGTTTGTTTGTTTATTGCTTTTTGGGTCACACCCAGCGATGCACAGGGGTTACTCCTGGCTCATGCACTCAGGAATTATTCCTGGTGGTGCTCAAGGAACCATATGGGATCCTGGGAATTGAACCCGGGTCAGCAGCATGCAAGGCAAACGCCCTACCGCTGTATTGTTGCTCCAACCCCACATCCTGTTTATTTGAGCATATTTGTTTCAAGGTTCTTTAAGACATTTGCTAAAGTGACCTGTATTCTTTCCTCTGACTCTGATCATACTTGACTTCCTTTATGTCTTTCATTATTATTCTTTCATAATTAGGGGTAGTAAATACATTGATTTCCTTACAGATTCCATAATCAGAAGTATAAAAGCTGCATTTTACCCCTCAGTCACGGCAGAGCCTGCCAAGCTACCCATGGCATATTCAGTATGCCAAAAATAGTAACAAGTCTTATGATGGAGATGTTACTGGTGCCTGCTTGAGCAAATCGATGAACAATGGGAGGACAGTGCTACAGTGCTACCCCTCAGTCAGATCACTGTCAACACTGGTGGGATTCCCAGTCTTAGTTCTCCAAGTCTCCTAGAATCAAAAAGTTTGCAGGTTGAATGAGAATTGTGAAAGGATTCTGCTGTTTGACAAAAAAATGCACGGGAAAAATTAACGTGGGGACTTTACTATATAAATGCTAAGACTTCATTGCTCTTATCATTGATTTTTTTTCAGTAACCTTATTTAAGGAGATATTCGATGGGGCACTGAACATTTGATTTTTCTTTGTATGGAATTTTTTACATAGAATATGAGTTTTTAAAACAAAAAAGCTGTGTACTTAGGCTATGCGCATTAAGTATTTGTATACCCTGTATTCAACCTGGTATTTTGATAGCTAATATTGATAGTACTTTGATACAGCCATGATCAGTCTGGTAACGCATGACTGATTCCATTCTATTTTATTTTTCTTAAAAATTGGACTGAAATATACATCTCTCCCACTGATAACTAATGGAAAGACAGAATTATTCTATATCTGTTGTTTCCTTCACAGAGAGCTAGTGTCATCTGACAAAGAATCATGATACCTGGCTGAAACTCCAGGATGGAAGTAATGCACAAGTCACTAATTAAAGCCAACACTGTAAATCGTACGTAATGGCTATATGCAAATTAGTAATCAAAGTAAATAAGAAAGAAGCAGTTGGTAATTAGCCATGCATGGCTGTGTAGGTACTAATCCAATAGCTGTTTAGTCGCTTTCTGAGTCTTTGGAAAGCCTTGGAAGTGTGCCGGTAAGAGTCCTCATGAGTGCCCCACTATGTGGCTGTGACTTACGAGGAATTGGTATTCTCCTCACCCCAAGTCCTAATTCTAGTCAGACTATTTTATTACCGTGCTTCTACTGCTTTTAATCATAAAGTATTAGATTTTAGAAGATAACGAGTCCGTTTTTGTGTGTGTATCTGTCTGTCTGTAAGTAAGGTCTTTCTTTGCCAGTGCTGGCACCTATAGAGATCATCTGTAGGATCTCATCCTTATTGACCGACTGACTTGGAAAAACAAGAACAGTGAGAGGTACTATATTTTACAATAGAGTTCATAGTGTGAGGACAAGCAGAGGTGATGATTCCCAGAGTTAATACTGTGTGTTATTTGATACTACTTTTCAGAATCCACTCTTTCTTGTTCATTGAGTAACTTTGGGGCTGGGGAGATAGCACAGTGGGTAAGGCGCTTGCCTTGCATATGGCTCACCCAGGTTTGATCCCTGACATTTCATAATGAACCCAAGCACCACCAGGAGTGATCCCTGAGCACAGAGCCAGGAGTTAACCCCTGAGTGCTGCCAGGTGTGGCCCCAAAACAAATCAGAAAAAACATAAATGACCTTTTCAACTATCTAATTCACACCTACCATAAAAGTAGTTATAAAATTCAAAGTAACCCATCCGTCTGTATCTGTATTGGAGGGGAAAATTTAGTGTGATTTTCTAAGATTCTGAAAAAAGTTTCTCAGGTTTATTTTCATAAGTAGCTAACTGTTAATGGTATTGGTGATATTAAGCAAAAGAAATTCTGTGGTTCTTGTACTTGAATAAGGTAGTACGAAAGCTGTGTTTGTTGTTCAGTTGCCTTAGTGTTTGGGTGTGACTTCCAAAGACATTCTTCATTCTTGGACTAGCAACTTTTCCTATTTGATACCAGCTGATACTGCAATGGGAGACATCATCAGATAATTTCATAATACTAACTTCCCTGAATTTCAAATCATTTTAGGGACTATCCCCAGTGATGTCAGGGACCAGTCATGGAAATGCTCAGCCTAGCCATGAGGACTGCATGTCGTGCCAGGGCTCTAACTCAGGGCCATACACAGGCTAGGCATATACTCTACCACTTGAGCTATTACCCTGTCCCCAAACACTTTTAAAACGTTTATATATTTTGTTTGGGGACTATCATTAGCTGGACCAGGTCATACTCCTGGCTCTGCTCAAGGGTCATACCTGGCAGGGTTCATGAATCATGGGGAGGGGTTGCTGGAGAACAAACTCATGTAAGCTCTGTGCACGGCAAGCGTCCTACCCTCTCGCCCCCTCTTAAAATGTTTTTATAAAGTATTTTAGCCTAAACAGTTAATTAAATTTGTCTTTAAAACATGTATGGGTGCTGGGGCTGGAGCTATAGTTCAGCGGGTTGGGAGTTTGCCTTGCAAGCATGCCGACCCAGGTTTCATTCCCAGCATCCCATGTGGTCCTCTGAATACCACCAGGAGTGACTCCTGACTGCTGAGCCAGGAATAACCCCAGAGCATCGGCCAAGTATGACCCAAATTACTTAAGACTGGGAAATATAACCTGGAGAGCATGCAGGTCTCCAGGGTTCAGTACTTTGCTCTGCATGGCCCTGCAGAACTGCTCTCAGAGCAGCCTCATGTGCCATGGAGTGTGCCCCAAAACCAAAATGTAAAATAATAATGAAATTAAGGGTGTTAGAACCTTTGTATTCTATTACAAAGGTTGTATTCCAACCTTTATAGGCCATTTCTAAGTTAGAACTATATTTTTTAACCCTTACCTGTGAACAGCCGTCTTTTATTTCAGGAATACGTTATCTGAATTTGAAACGGTCTTAATGAGTTATTCTCCAGGCTTTCCATTTTGTCTGTTTTTAAAGTTTTTACTAGTTTCATTTTGCCTAAACCAAAAATCACCAGTGACATTGACTAAGCACTGCCCTGTGACATTACCCCTTGCCTTGACTTCTGTGTGGTAGCTTTAGTCCCCAAGCAAACCAATGAAGTGTGCATGTTAGTTTCTTTCTATGGGATGTTTATTTGATTCTGTAATGTATATTAATGCAGAAAGACTTTGATTAACTAGTATGGAGGAAAAAATGATACTCCAAGAAGATAGTCTTGTCTTTTGTGACTCTTAGGCTCCCAGGGACACCTTGTACAAATGCCTCTATTTGACAAGTACTAATTCACTAAGTGCACACTTAACTTTCTGTACTTAACCTTGTTTGGATGTGTGCTGGATGGGCAGAGTAAACTTAGTAGTTCTGCTTTTCCCTGAAGTGATTGCACAACCCCTGTTTTCTAACTGCTGCATCTTAAAAGTGTCCTTTCTTATAAGCATATGCCCTTACCCAGGATGCCAGTCTAACCAGCAGCCATCTCCAGCAGAGTCAGATATTATCTCTGTGTTTCCACAGCCTTTGCTCACATAACTCTTAACAACCAGCGTCTAGTTCATGGCATACCATCTTATTAGAAGAATGTGAGTTCTTTGAGGGCAAAGACTTAATGAATTTCTTCTTTATGGCGCTTGACTCAAATATAGTGCCTGGGACCTAGGGAGTGTTGCTGGATGAGTGAACAGACAGGTTCTTTATAATTAATGTTTGGTCTAATCTAACTCTACTATTGAAAACTACGAGTTGTTCCAAAGCCAAGCATTCAGCTATTGGCAACCACCTGACTCCTATTCTCAGCCCATGCTTTAAGTCCAGGGGATGGTATAGAGTTACTGTGATAATTAATGATTCAAACACTTATCATTGTTGGTTTGTGTGTGTAATGAAATGCCTTTTCATTAATGTCTTAATGTTTTGTCATATTTCTTTCAGGAATTGTTGGATAAGTATTTAATAGCCAATGCAACTAATCCAGAGAGTAAGGTGTTCTACCTGAAAATGAAGGGGGATTATTTCCGGTACCTTGCTGAAGTTGCAAGTGGTGATGATCGAAAACGTATGTATATTTGGCTTATAGGTAAATTGAAAATAACTTAAAAAGGATTAATGAAACTCTTACTTTAACTACATATATACAGTCTCTAGTCAATTTATAGGGCTGGAACGATAGCACAGCAGGTAGGGCGTTTGCCTTGCACGCGACCCACGCGGCCGACCTGAGTTTGATTCCTCTGCCCCTCTTGGAGAGCCCGGCAAGCTACCAAGAGTATCTGGCCCGCACAGCAAAGCCTGGCAAGCTACCCGTGATGTATTCGATATGCCAAACACAGTAACAAGAAGTCTCATGATGGAGATGTTACCGGGCGGGCAAATCGATGAACAATGGGAGGACAGTGCTACAGTCAGTTTTTAATTTTGGGGGGTAGGGGGTTTAAGAAAATTATTTTGAGATCTAGGGGATTATAACTCAAAGGAATTGTTGGTGCCTGGGGTTCAATCTCTGGTGACATATGGTTCCCCAAGCACCAAAAAGAGCTGTGTACTTTGAGTAGCCTCTTGTACTTCTGAGTATGGTTCCCCCCAGTAAAACAAAATGAGGGGCTGGAGAGAGAGTACAGTGAGTAAAAAAGGCACTTAGCTTTCGTGGGCTGAACTGGATTCTAGAACTGGATTTTATATCCCCCGAATACAGCCAGGTGTGACCCAGAACCTCTCACCTCAAAAAAAAAACAACAAAACAATCATTTTGTCATTTATGTAAAAAAATTGTGCTAACTCGAGTCTCCAAAATCATTAAGAATTTACATGATTTGCCCTTTAGCTCTTAAGTGCTATTTATGAACCGATATTTAAGATTTTGAATCTGGTAGTTTATGCTTTTTTTCCTTCATATTTCTTTTTTTTTGTGTTTTTGTTTTTTTTTAATTAGTGAAACACCATGAGGTACAGTTGTAGACTGACATATTTTTGTGCTTGGGTTTCAGTTATACAATGATTGATTTTACAATGATTCAGTTATACAATGATTCAGCTATACCTATCCTCCACCAGTGCCCATTCTCCACCACCACTTATCCCAGTATCCCTCCCACCCCATGTCCCCCTCACCCTACCCTGCCTCTGTGGCAGGGCATTCCCTTTTGTTCTCTCCTTTTTCCTTCATATTCTTACCCCCAAAATTCTTTTATTCTTTAAATGATTTCTGTTATGTTATATGACCATTATTGTGGCAGGTTATAGGCATTGAAACTTAAGATAACTGGAAATAGGTGCCAGAACAGTAGACAGTGGGCAGGCTGCTTGCTTTACACACAGCCAACCTGGGTTTGATCCCTGGCCTCACGTGTGGTCTCCAATCACCATGAGCTGTGGCCAAAAAGCAAAGACTAAAAGATAACTGGAAATAACATACAGAAATAGGATTTGTGCTTTTAATTTCTGGCACCAACTTATTTCCTACCTATTTCGAAGGATTATCACAGTGACTTTATTTCTGAGGAGGAGAAATACATATTATTGCAGGCAAGTAATTTGTTACAGAAAATGTGGGGGAGGAAAGGAATAGTAACCAAATTGCTTAAGTTGATTATAAAAGATTCCCGAGTAATTTAGATCCTTTTAAATTTTGTGTGTGTGTGTTCCTGCTACTCAGTTTATCAAGTTAAGTTCAGAAGTGCCATTTCACTTTCTCTAGTAAGTTGATTGGTTTTTGTTTGGGGGAGCTTCCGAAGCAGTGCTCAGGACCATTCTCTCTGGTACTCTGGCCCACCATGTTGCCCTGCTCGGGCCCAGGTGTGCTGAGGCCACCCTGGACTCAGCCCTTATTTTTCTCTTAATTTTGCTCCTCCAAAACTGACATATTACCCACCCAAAATAGTTACCATGGTCCTACTCCCACAGAGCATTACTGATTGAAAATGAGACAGTTTTCCCATCCCACATACCAGTGTAATAGAAAATACAAAGAGAAAAGTGTTGTACTCTGCTGTAACAAAATCTGTTATTATGTATAGATGTCTAACTCTGCTGCCATAAAGATTAAACAATTGAATGTGAAAGCTCTTTGCCTAGAGCTGAGCACTTTAAAGGCAGCAAGCCAAAGTGATGTCTTTGTGATATAGCACCAGCATTAATCTGATTTGTCCCTTTCCAACTCACTGGCTTTTTTTTTTTTTTTTTTTTTTTGCTTTTTGGGTCACCCCCATCGATGCTCAGGGGTTATTCCTGGCTCTGCACTCAGGAATTACTCCTGGCGGTGCTCAGGGGACCATATGGGATGCTGGGAATCGAACCTGGGTCGGCCGCGTGCAAGGCAAAATGCCCTACCCTTTGTGCTATTGCTCCAGCCCCCCCTCGTTGGCATTTCAGGTCCCACACATAACAACTGTTCTAATAATTGCTATAAATTCATAAATAGCTTGTGTTTGTCGCTTAGATGTTGATTGCCACTTATTGTGGTGTGTTGTATGTGCCAGAAAGCAATAACTTGTGTGTGAAAGCTCTACTGGTCGCCACACTTAGATTAATAATTGCCATTTTGGAGCAAACAAAGTATATAATTAGGGCATAAAGCATAACAATTTTTACTAAGTCAATTTCTAAAGCTATAATGGTTTAATGACTATTCAGAAAATGTATCCTTTTGAAAGCCTGGATATATAAGGTTAGGGTTAGTAATACCTTCCTGACTTTTTTTAAGGAAGGAGACATTATTAGGCCAATAATAAAATTCTGGTCAGAGTATTTTGTTCTACATATTGGCACATTGATAATTACCTTTCACATACTCTTGATTGGTATCTTTCCTTAAATAAGACACAAAATTAAAATTTTGAACATACACATTTTTGTAAAGTGCCTTCTCGGGAAGGTGTATTGCAGCCAGATTATCACTTTGCTGGCTTTCCTGGGATATTTTTTACATATATCAAAATCACTGCATTTCAAAGTAAATAAAATTACAACATGAACAGAAGATCTTTGTTTTTGCCTCAGAGATGGAAATGTCAGAATCACCCATGCACTTGTGACTGCACCCAGGATTTGGCTCAGAGCCTCACTCTGGATGTTTTTGTTATGTGTTGATTTATTTTTCCATTTTTTTATTTTTAATTTTTACACCACTGAGCTTCTCTATTGCCCTTTCTCACCATGGTTCCAATTAAGCTGTCAGGATCACCTCAGCAGTTGTGTACGGCACTAATTTGAACTCAAGGCCATATATTTGTTGGCAGGCACTTAAACCATTGAGTCATCTTATGGGCCTATAAATAAGTTTTTAAAGAGTACAAATTATTTTGGGGTTTGGTCCCATGGTTTTACAAGATAACTACAGAGAGGAAACTGGTACTTGGACCAAGAGCTAGAGTGTGTGTTAAAAATGTTGGGGCTGGAGTGATAGCACAGCGAGTAGAGTGTTTGCCTTGCTTGTGGCCGACCGGGTTCGATTCCTAGCATCCCATATGGTCCCCTGAGCACCGCCAGGAGTGATTCCTGAGCGCAGAGCCAGGAGTAACACTGCGTTGCTGGGTGTGACCCCAAAAGATAAAAATTAAAAATGTTAATGTGCTAGGACTGGAATGATAGTACAGCGGGTAGGCTATTAGTTTTCCTAGCAACTCACCCAGGTTCAATTCCTGTCATCCTGTATAATCCCCCACGTATCACCAGGAATAATTCCTGAGTACAGAGTCAGGAGTAAGGTTACCCCTGAGCATCGCTGGGTGTGACCCAAAAAGCCAAAAATAGAAAAAAAATGTTACTGTGCTATAAATACTAGAAGGATATTTTTCATGCTTTATTGTTTCTTTTTTCTTATTTTTCCCTTCACAGAAACGATAGATAATTCCCAAGGAGCTTATCAGGAAGCTTTTGATATAAGCAAGAAAGAGATGCAACCTACACATCCAATCCGACTGGGGCTTGCTCTTAACTTTTCTGTATTTTATTATGAGATTCTTAATAACCCAGAGCTGGCCTGCACACTGGCTAAAACGGTAAGCTGTGTATCCAGAAGTATCCTCTTTGAGTTAAGGTTATTTGAGATAGCAGGTATGTTTATTTCTAGGTATTTTACTTGGATAACTCATTCCCCTTTTCTTTCACTTTATAACCACTCCTTACCTGTCTGAATACCTTATTCTCCTAAGTATGATTATAAGCAGTGATACTATTTATAAAGAGTTGGCTAGAGTACTCAGAGAAATATGAAAGAAATATAATGGATTGTAAAGGAATGCTTGCCAGGTTTAGTCACTAGTATATAGTTGCAGTCTTCAAAATGTCTCAATATGGGTGAGTAGAAAAGGGCTTTTGCAAGTAAATGCTAGGTCTTATTGGTAAAACGTATTTAGGTGTATCTCATGGCATCATACATCTTGTTAAAGATCTGAGAAATCTATGGTTTTTGATTTTAGCTTTTATAATTTCAGGTCATACTCAGGAGAGACTTGGAATAAGAGGAAATTATTACACTGAGTTTTGGAGGGTTGGGGATATGGTTCAAAATGGAGGGACTGTTGCCTAGCACATGTGAGGCCAAGTTCAATCCCTGGCACCACTTGGCCCCCCAGCATTGCCTGGAATAGCCCCTAAGTAAAAAGGGGAAATAGAGGGAGATCTGTCCATGAGTTTTTCGTTTTTAATTGCTAAAATTAAAGTAAATGTTTGCATATTTCATAAAAATGGTTTGTAATTGTGGACTAACAAGTTTGTTTCAATGTAAATGTTTACCGTGGATATTAATTAATGTTTCTCAGGCTTTTGATGAGGCCATTGCAGAACTTGATACACTGAATGAAGATTCATACAAAGACAGCACCCTCATCATGCAGTTGCTTAGAGACAACCTAACAGTGAGTTCATTCTAATTTTTTTTCCTTTCGGAACAAAAATACTTAGTTTATTTCAGGCTCCCTATCTTTGGGGATAGTTGAAAATCACATTTTCTCCAGAACCAGAGAGATAATACTGGAGGAAAGGTACTTACTTGCCTTGGATGCAGTGAACTGTGATTGAATTCCTACCATCACATATGGTACCCTACACACCAACAGGAGTCACTTCTGAGTACAAAGTATTAAGTGCTTGTTAGTACTCCAGGTTGACTTGGAATTTTATCAAACATCCTTGAGAAGACACTAAGATTACAGAAATTATAAGATTAACATTAGCTATTTCATTGAGGTTAAGGTTTATTGAATACACAAATTACTAATAGTTTGTATAGTTTAAATTTTACTTTCTAAACTGTACATAATAGTATGTAGTCATTTGATAGGAGAACTCTGTTTGTACCTCAATTTATTCCACTTCTTGTAGTTCATGTCTCTTACTGATAATTTCCCCTCTTTTTGGGGGGTTTTGGTTTTGGGTCATACCCGGCCATGCTCAGGCATCATTTCTGGTGTGCTTAGGAGACCACATAGGGTGCGGGGGGCCCCAACCTGGGTTGGCTGTGTGCAAGGCAAGAGTTTTACCTGCTGTATTATCACTCCAGTCTCACACTTTCCTTTATCTGTTTTTCTCTATTGTTTCTTGGAAAGGTAGGTGAAGGAAATAGTAATGGAGGGAAAAAAATTTTTTTCTGGTTGAGCGTTATTTATAGTAGCAGATAAATTTGATATCAAAAATCTATAAATAATTTGGGAGAATGTACTATCCTTTTTAATAATTTCTTATTAAAAAAGTTTCTTATCTCCCATTCTGGTGTTTTATCTTTTGCTCGATGATTGTATAGTATTGGAGAAGGGTTTTTATTTATTTTTATTTGGAGGCCACACCAAGGGGTACTTGGTGACTACTTCTGGTCAGACCCATTCTACCCACAGGCAAACCATGTGCCCCAGTCCTTCAAGCTAGTTTCCCAACCCTAGATTAATTTTCATGTCATGCCTATCCAACTTTGCTAGGTGGGGAAATGATGAAAATACATTGTTCACAGCAGAAATTACTGCTTTTGTGAGGTGGCAATAGAAATAATAATCCTCGGATCAGAGTGAAAGGACAATGGGTCAGGGTCTTGGCCTTACATGTGGCTGGTCCTGGTGTGGTCCCCTGATCCCCACCAGAATTGATTCCTGAGCAAAGAGCCAGAATTAAGCCCTGAGCACTGCTAAATATGACCCAAAAACAAAACTGAGAAAGAAGTAATTTCAGCAGAAGTACCTTTTGTGGGGGCCAGGGAGAGAGATTACAGTGGGCAAAATTCTACCTACCTTTTAATTGTTTCTCTTTCAGAGCTAATACTTCAGAAATGTTTGTAGGGAGCTGAGGGGTTGAGAGGGAGCGGTATTGGTGTCCTTGAGGGAGGGAGGTGGATGCACTGGTGATAGGTGTGGTTGGAAATATGTGCACAAAAAACCATTAACATTATTGTAAATTATAGAACCTTTGTTAATTAAAAAAATCAAAATGAAGTAGTTTTAAATTTCTAGTTTTTCTAAAATTGCCAATAATGTCTTGGCATTGGTTTAAAAGAATTTCATTTTGTGAGCCTTGTATTATAATCAACAAATACTATTTTATTCATTTTAGTGCTTCATTTTAGAAACTAGAAAGACTCTTTGATAAATAATTTAATATCCTATTTAGCTTTCTTGTGATTTGTATCATCTTACATTTAATTTTTTGAAGTAACACAAAGTAAACCTTTTCCTACAGTTTAGCTCAGTTTAGCTGGAGCGATAGCACAGCGGTAGGGCGTTCGCCTTACAAGCGGCCAACATGGCCGACCCGAGTTCGATTCCTCCGCCCCTCTCGGAGAGCCTGGCAAGCTACCGAGAGTATTCGATATGCCAGACACAGTAACAACAAAGTCTCCAATGGAGACGTTACTGGGCCCGCTCGAGCAAATCGACGATCAATGGGAGGGCCTTTACCTTTACCTTTAGCTCATTAGATATTGAAAATAGTTATGTCTCCATGGTTTTCTACTTAATTTTCTGCTTTATCATAGGTTTATTTCAGTAGTGCTTTCAAAAGAATATTGGGCTACTGTGCATGATAAATGCATGATAAATTCAATTAATGGTGCCTTATTTCTGAAATGTAGTATTTTAAAATAAGGAGTAATAAGAGAAGCATACTCAAATACTGTGTATGTTTGAATTCTCTGTAAATGCATAGTAGGTCTCTAAGGTTACGTTATAGTCTTAGTTATTTCGTTTCTTGTTTGAATAACATACTGTACTCAGAATTTACTTTGCTAAGACTTAATATCGTTATCTAATTTAGAAATAGTAACTTACTATGATTTCTTTTTTCCCCCTAGTTATGGACATCAGACAGTGCAGGAGAAGAATGTGATGCAGCAGAAGGGGCAGAGAACTAAGTGCACACAGGGTGGCATCCTTCTTCCCCTCAAGAAATCTTTTTACACATCTCCATTCCTTATTCCATTTGGATTTTCTCTAGCAAAGAAACCCATTCATGTGTATGGAATCAACTGTTTAGTCTTTTCACACTGCAGCTTTGGGAAAACTCCATTCCTTGATTTGTGTTTGTCTTGGCCTTTCTGGTGTACAGTTACTGCTGTAGAAAAGTATTAATAGCTTCATTTCATATAAAAATAAGTAATGTCCAAACACTTATGTAGAGGACTTAAAATGTACCTGATATTTAAGTAATCTGAACCAGTTCTGCAAGTGACTGTGTTTTGTATTACTGTGAAGATACGAAAATGTAGTTAATTGCAATTTAAAAGTGTTATACATAATCTCTTCATTTCTATGTCCCTCTCTTACTCTTGGGCTTTCCTTTTAATGAGCAACTTTTCTATGCTTTTAATGTATTCTTTTTTGGTTGGATTCCAGAAGTATTAGATTGAATGAAAAGCATTGACATTTCTGGGCTGGGGGTCACACACTGAAATGTCTCCTCTACCATACCTTGGAGGCTTTGTGTGTTGGTGACAACGGGGAGTTTCCTTATTCACTCTTCATTTGCTGCTGTTTAAGTTGACAACTTCCCTTCCCAATAAAATTTCACTTATACCTCCTGCCTTTGTAGTTCTGGTATTCACTTTACTGTGTGTAATAAAAGCATGTTGCTGCCAGAATACAAGCATTGCTTTTGGCAAATTAAAGTGCATGTCATTTCTTAATACACTAGAAAGGGAAAATAAAGTAAACAAGTCCAAGTCTAAAACTATAGTACTTTTCCATGCAGATTTGTGCACATATGAGAGGGTGTCCAGTTTGTCTAGTGCTTGTGACTTAGAGAGTTGGACCACTACTGTGTGTTGCTAATCATCGACTGTAGTCCCCAAAACGCCTTGTGAAAATGTTATGCCCTATGTAACAGCAGAGTAACAGAAAATAAAAATTACATTTTATAAACCATATACAATGGCTTTGTAACAATTGCATACTCATTTTAAGAGACAGGTGAATTTACTACTTTTCTGAAGTTTATTGGTAATTCCCTCTTACGACAAATATAATCACATACCTCTATTTCTGCATTGTATTACACTTGTCTAGAGCTGCCTGAAATGTACAAAATTGGACCTTTATCTTAGAGTCAGTGTTTTTATCTGTTTTTATGGATCATCTCTTTCTCAGATGTAAACACTATACAGTGGATGGAATAAAATGGACATTATAAAACTAGGAAAGTTAATTATGTACTTGTGCATGCTTTGGCTGGTGTATAATCAAGCTCCAGTGATATATAAGCAGTGTCAGAGTTTAAGAGGACCTTGATTAGTTTACAAACAACTCTTTGTAAACAGTCATATGAGTTCCAAATAACTTTTTCCCACGGTGGCTGTTACACTACCCTGTCTTAAGTATTCAGAAGATAATCTGAAAAACTGCCATCTGGGTTTATGGAACAAGGTTTTGCTTGTACTTGATTTGTTTTCTGAGGAAACAATGAGGAAGAAGGAGTAAATGCCCATTAGGGGAATACCTGCTTAGAACAGAACTTTGATTCCCCAAAATCTAAGAAGATGATAGTTGCAGGGAGGAGAGCATGAAAGGTATAGAATCCAGGGTCTTGAGGAAAGTATATACCTTCCCACTAAGCTACATTCTTGGTCCTAAAATACAACCTCTTTAATAAAAAGTTTTAGTCAGTGGCTGGGGAGATACAGTACAGGGAATAAGGTGCCTGCCTTATATGTGGCTGGGCTCAGTACAGCCTCTGGCACCACATAGATTTCTGAGCACTGTAAAATATTATTTAATTTCTTTAACATCACTGTATCACTGTCATCCTGTTCTTCGATTTACTCGAGTGGGTTCAAGTAATGTCTCCATTCTTCCCAGTGCTGAGATTTTAGCAGCCTCTCCTTAACTCATCTTTTGCAACAATTGGAGGCTCTTTCAGGGTCAGGGGAATGAAACCTGTTATTGTTACTGTTTTTGGCATATCGAATACCCACAGGGAGCTTGCTGGGCTCTCTAAGAGGTGTGTTTGTGTGTGTGTGTGTGTGTGTGTGTGTGTGTGTGTGTGTGTGTGTGTGTATAATTTCCCTCTGATGATGTCTCGGCCACACGGTCGAGGAATATGTTCAGTCATGTGTGAGGTTCTGTCCGACCATGTGGAAAGTGGCCTGGAGCGTGGCAGTGGCTGAATAGTGGAGGTCGACTACCGGGGCTGGGTCCCTTCAGATGGGGGCTCTAACCCATCCCAAGGGACCCCCCTCTGGGGTGCCCCAAGTGAGAATAGCCTGGCGCGAGTCTGGTGGCATGGTTATAGGAGCTTTATTTTATGCTCCCTCTGGGAGAAGCAGCCATGAGTTCTGGAGGTGGCCCACGAGATTATCTGGCACCAGCAGGAGGTGGCTTATGAGTGTGACCCCTGGGTCACCAGAGACTGGGGGAAGTAGGCAGAGGATCTCTGCTCCTGGGTCCCATAGAGCCCAGAGTCCAAGATCACAAAGTTCCACATTACTGGGGTTCTGTGGGACTAGCACAGCTGGTAGGGTGTTTGCCTTGCACGCGGCTGACCAACTTTCGATTCCTCCGCCCCTCTTGGAGAGCCCAACAAGCTACCGAGAGTATCTCCCAATATGCCAAACATAGTCACAATGGAGACATTACTGGGCCCGGTCGAGCAAATCAATGAACAATGGGAGGACAGTGACTAAATCCAAGACAGTTTTTTCATAAGGAAAAGGAAGCGGTCAATTTTTGAGGGAGTATGCTTGTTTGGGGACCACACCTGGTTGTGATCAGGGATTGTAGTGCTCAGGGGACCATAAGTGTGCCAAAGATTGAACCTGGGTTGGCCACGTGGCACAAGCGCCTCACTCTACTTCTCTCTGACCCTATAGCCTCTAAGTTTTCAAATTAGGGCTCTTTTCATGTTATAATTAATTTTTTTTTCCTTTAAGATGCTGAGGATCAAGCCCAGATCCTCGTTTATGTGAGACTTATGCTCTACTGCTACTCCACACCCTCCCAGTGAATATTTGAACCTGTATTGTAGTTAGGACTTAATTGGCAGTTTTCCTCTTAAAATGTCATTTGAGTTTCTATAGCTTAAAATTATCTGGGAAAGATTACACCGTTTGACTATCCAGAAGATAGTATTCGGAATTTTTGTACCCATAGTACACTGAGCAGTGATTTGTTAATCCTAGTTTGGCAAAGACCAATAGATTTTCCTCTTGGCCTTTGTTTTTGGTTTTTGGGGCCACACCTGGCTCTGTGCTCTGGGATCATTCTTGACAGTGCTCAGGGAACTATATGGGGTGCCAGAGATCCAATCCAGGTTGGCCACATGCAAGGCACATACATACGTCTTTTTTGATATTGTGAGGGCCACACCTAGTGGTGCTAGGGTTCACTTAATTCTGTTGAGCTGAATTTCTTGCCATGGATTAATTATTTGTCATACTTAAGGGTTCTTAACATTAGATCAAATTTAAACAATTCCAATTTAACTGGTGTGATTGGTGTTAGAGTCTGTATTTCAGTGTATTGGAAAGGCTTTCATCAGGCTTTGTGACTAAGGTCCCCACTAACTGGTGACTACATAAGGATCAGCACATTGAGGAACTGACTTGTCCTTCACAAACAACTTGGTTGCATAAATTTCTGTACATTGGCCTTTATCCCTGATTGATGGGAGGAGGAAGCAGAAATAGAAGTCTGTGACAGCCAGAACAATACCACAGTGAATAGGGTGCTTGCCTTGCACATGACTGACATGGGCCCTATCCCTAGCACCCCACATGGTCCCCTGAGCACTGTTGGGTGTGGCCCAAAAACAAAAAGTCAGTGGTATGCCTAGGGCTTGGGTCTCCTAGCTAAGGGTCTCCGGATTTGATCCTTGGTACCACATATGGTCCCCGAGAACCTCCAGGAGTAATTCCTGAATTTAGAGCTGGAAATAACTCCTGAGAATCGCCAGGTGTGGGCAAAACACAATATGAATAATGGGTTGTAGTGATATAGATTTTAAGTGAACTGTGAACTTGAAAGGCATTTCTTTCTACTAGATGATCTTAAGGTTTTCTTTCTAATTCGTGTTCTAGGACTGTAGATTGCACAATATATCAGCATTGTTTCATGGTGCGTGGCGTTGTTGGATCATTTCTATTACAGCATTGCATTACGCTTTCTACTGGAGTATATACTGCTCGTGCCATCTCTAAATGGTCTTTAGAAAGAAGCAGGCTCGGGGCTGGAGCTGTAGTACAGCGAGTAGGGTGTTTGCTTTGCACGTGGCTGACCTGGGTTCGATCCCTAACATTCCATATGGTTCCTGGAGCACTGCCAGGAGTAACTCCTGTGCATTGCCTGGTGTGACCCAAAAAGCAAAAAAAAAAAAAAAGGCTCCCTTTTTTCAGAGTGAGATATTTAATCCAAGCTACCGAGAGTGTCTCGCCTACACAGCAAAACCTGGCAAGCTACCCATGACATATTCAATATGCCAAACACAAGTAACAACAAGTTTCACAATGGAGACGTTACTGGGCCCGCTTGAGTAAATCGATGAACAACGGGAAGACAGTGACTCTTAAGTATTATTAAAAGATGCTTGGGGGCCGGGGGGGGGGTGGGAGGGATAAGAGAGGCACTCCAGGCAATGATCAAGGGACCATGCAATGCCAGAGATCAGAGCACATGAGAATCACATGCAAAACAAAAATTTCAGCACTTTGAGCCCCAGCCCTAATTATTATGTGTGTGTGTGCGCGTGTGCGTGCGTGCGTGTGTGTGTGTGTGTGTGTGTGTGTGTGTCCTTAGAGATACCATCTGCAACCAGACACCAAGGATGCACTAGTAGACATGACAGAAGTAGAATTTACTTAACCTAGCAAAAAAAGAGTTAGAAAAGAATATACTATATATACTAACGTACTAATTGAAATATACTAATGGAATATGAATTGCTAAATTAGTTTTAAATTAGATTGAGTGCTGGGGTAAAAATCGTACAAGCCCAAAGAGATTGCATAGGGGTTAAAGTGCTTGCAATGCAGCTAACAATGCTGGTTTGATCCTCAGCATAGCATATTGTAAAAGACGGCATGTGTACCTCAAATTAGAAGCTTGGAGTAATAAATTCTATTGTATTGTTTGATCCCCCCTTACGATTTTGGGTCATACCTTATGATGCTTAGGGTAACTGGCTCCCTGCTTAGGAGTGACCCCTTGTGGTGTTTAAGGGGACCATGGGGTACCAGGGATATATTTGGCCTGCATGCAGAACATGTGCTCTGGCCCTTTGAGTTATCTCTCTTGCCCTATAGATGTTTTTTTTCTTTTTGGGTAACACCTGGCGATTTGCACAGGGGTTACTCCTGGATCATGCACTCAGGAATTACTCCAGGCGGTGCTCGGGGGACCATAGGGGATGCTGAGAATCAAACCTGGGTTGACCGCGTGCAAGACAAACGCCCTACCTGCTGTGCTATCGCTCCAGCCCTTTGCCCTATAGACTTTTGTTTGTTTAAGCAGTTAGGCTGTAACAAGTGGGTTCCTTTTTCTCTGAGTGATCATTTTTCCAAGTGAAAAAGGTTATGGACTATGTATGTAGAGTT